TTAATTTTGTTGGTTAAACCGAAACCGTTGTGTTGAGGTTATCAATCTCAATTGATTTCATCAACGAGTTAAGAGATTAAATGCTACTATCAAGTCGGTATATGACGGTGTTCTATACTTGACTAATAGTAAGGGTTATTAATGAACGGTTGTTGTTAATAACTACCCTCGAGGAATTGAATATACTCCTCGATTGAGTATTCGAGAGGGAATAAGTTATAGATATAACAATGATCGACTAAAATATATATCAACAAGTGGAAAGTAGCAATGCCAAGTTCTTTTATCTTTGAATTAAAACACATATAGGCTGTTCATCTTAGTTTTTAAATTAAATCATTCAATCCTAAAACCCCCCTTTTCTTTACTAGTTCATAAAAAGAGAATTATTCCTTTCCCTGTGGATACGAACTCTACTTCACCTATACTACGTATAAGTGCTAGTATCGAATATTACTTTGACGCACCGTGACAAAGTGCCCGTCAAATTTGGCGGCGTTGCCGGGGAAAGGCAATTAATTTTTCTTTTTATTTTATTTCAAAAAAAAAACAAAAAAAAAACATATATATATATAAAGATTTCTATTTTTCTGAGCTTTGTTTGAGTATATGGTAAGAACCTGATCCATAAACCAACTCACCTACCAACAAACCCCGAAATAAAACAAGCTCTTGAACGGTTGAAAAGCAAATTCTCAAGTACCGACTCGGGAGACTCATCAAGAGCTAGTTCTCGTTCTAGCGACACCGAAGAGCCAATCACTATGGCTCTTGAAACGAGAATATTGAGGGAGCTCACGGCTCCGAATCTTAATCAACAACCCTTATGTATCAGTTTTCCAACTCTTGATACGGGGGTCACATTCGAGCTAAAATCTGGGCTCATTCATCTATTTCTCTCTTTCCATGGTCTACGAGGGGAAGATCCGAACAAACACCTGTCAGAGTTCCATATAGTGTGCACAAGCATGTGCCCCAATGACGTGTCCGAAGAGCAAATAAAGTTGAGAGCTTTTCCATTCTCCCTTAAAGACACCGCCAAAGATTGGCTATTCTACCTTCCCTCGGGAAGCATCAATACATGGGCTCAAATGAAAAAGAGTTTCCTTGACAGGTACTATCCCGCATCTATCTCTTCAAGTCTCAAGAAGCAAATCAGCAACATTGAGCAAACGGGTGATGAGACCTTGTACGAATATTGGGAGCGCTTTAAAAAATTATGTGCTAGTTGCCCATATCATGGGTATTCGGAACAATATCTCATCCTCTACTTCTATGATGGCCTTGTTGATCAAGATAGACGCATGGTGAATGCGGCATGAGGAGGGGGTATTGTTAACAAAACCCCTTCGCAAGCAAGAGACCATATTTCGGAGTTAGCCAAAAACTCGAGACATTACAGCAGGAGGTCATCATCAAAAGGAGGGGGTATTGTTAACATAACCCCTTCCCCGCCATTTTCCAGTTATATACTCCCTTTGTCCTCCTATTATTGTCCTATTTCCTATTCACTTGGTCGACACAAATCACTCTTAATCTCTTACTTTATTTATCAATTTTTTATCAAATTTGATTCTGGTTTTGTGACTTTGTAAAACTTTTAATGTAGTTTCAGATTATATGATTTTTTTCCTAAAAATAATTCCAATGCGGACAGGGATCTGTTTGTTTTATCGTAAGTCAAGCATCGTAAATCGCAATGGGACAATAACAGGGGGACAGAGGTAGTAATATATATACTAGTATATTGTATACTAATATGTAGTATATATTTTTTGTACTAGTTTATTATATACTATGTATATAAATAAGTTATTGATAATGACGCATATGTGGATGATGTGTGGTTATCAATGGAGTCCACCATTAACAAAGTGACGAAGGATATACTCGGAGAATCTAAAGGATGTCTGCCACCAAAAAAGGACACATCTTGGTGGAATGATGTGGTGGAACGAGCAATAAAAACCAAAAGGGAATGCTATAGGAAATTTGGCAAAAGTCAGAGCAACGAGAACTTAGAGGAGTACAAGGAGGCTAGAAGAAGAGCAAAGAAAGTTGTGAAGGAAGCCAGGGGGAAAGTGAACAAGGAATTGTATGTAAAATTGGACTCTAAGGAAGGAGAAAAAGATATCTTAAGACTTGCTGACCTTCGTAGCCGCGGTACTCAAGATATCAGAAAAGTTGAGTGTGTGAAAGATGTTTATCAAAGGGTACTAATGGAGGAGGAGGAAATAAAAGAGAGGTGGAGGTCATACTTTGATAGCTTGTTCAACGGGAATAGAGTGCAAGGTATTGATGATCTTACTATAGTAGAGTGTATGGTAAATCGAGACTTCATGAGAAGACTTCAAACAACATAAGTTAAAGAGGTTGTGAGAAAAATGGAGCGAAAGAAAGCAGTGGACCCAGCTGGCATATCGATCGAGGCTTGGAGAAGTTTAGGAGAGAAAAGCATTAAGTGGCTAACACGTTTCTTCAACATGATTTGGAGAAACAACAAAATGCCAGTGAGTTGGCGAAAGAGTACTCTCATTCCCCTATTTAAAAATAAGGGTGATGTACAAGAATGTGTCAACTATCGAGGAATTAAGCTTATGAGTCACACCATGAAACTTTGGGAGCGAGTGGTTGAGCAAAGACTTCGTAAAAGTGTGAAAATTTCGGAGAATCAATTTGGTTTTATGTCTGGACGCTCAACAATTGAGGTCATTCACCTTCTTAGGCAAACTGTGGAGAAGTATAGAGACACAAAAAAGGATCTGCATTTGGAGTTCATTGACTTAGAAAAGGCATATTATAGGGTATCTCGAGAAGTCCTTTGGTGGGCCTTAACTAGAAAAGGCATATCACGTAAGTATATCAGTATCATCATGGATATGTATGATGTTTGTACTACAAGTGTCTGCACTAGTGTAGGGAGGACCGAAGAGTTCCCTATTACTATCGGAATGCATCAAGGATCTACTCTGAGTCCTTTCTTATTTGTTATAGTCATGGATGAACTTACAAGGTCAATTCAAGAAGATATACCATGGTGCATGATGTTTGTCGGCGATATTGTATTGATTGATGAGACGTAATTCGGTGTTAAAGCAAAGTTGGAAGTATGGCGATAAACATTGGAGACCAAGGATTTCATATTGAGTTGAAGCAAGACTGAGTGTATGTAGTGCAAGTTTAGTGGAGGTAGAAGTAGTAGTAACAATGGGATTACTCTTGATGGTAAAGAGATACCAGTGTGTGATATGTTCTGTTATTTGGGCTCCATAATTTAGAAGAATGGTGAATTAGATGGAGATATATGTCATAGAATTAGAGCTGGGTGGATGAAATGGAAGAGTGTGTTATGTGATCGAGGTATGTCGACTAGACTAAAAGGTAAATTTTATCGAACAACAATTAGGCTTGCATTAATGTATGGCGTAGAATGTTGGGCGGTGAAGTAATGCCACATTCAAAAGATGAGTATGGCAGAGATGCATATGTTGTGTTGGATGTGTGGACATACCAGAAAAGACCATTTGAGGAATGAGATAATCAGAAAAAAAGTGGGAGTAGCACTTATATAAGATAAGATGCAGGAGTCTCGTTTGCAGTGGTTTGGGCATGTGCGTAGAAGGCTGAGTGATGCACCTGCTAGACGACTTGAGGGGTGGGGAGAAGAGACAGAGAAGAGAGGGATGGGAAGACCTAAACAGACTTAGATTAGAGGAATCAGAACTAATATGCGTCTTTTTGGGTTGGATGAGAGTATGGATTTGGAGAGAGCAAAGTGGAGGGCGCACATTTGTGTGGAAGATTGATGTCTTTTCTACATTTCCTCTCTCTTTTCTTTTATTGTTTATCTTCTTTATCTTTTTATATTCTTATGTTATTTTTATCTTCTAGCTTTTTATGCTCTTTTATCTTTTTATCTTTCTTATATTCTTATGTTATTGTTAGCTTATATTTATTTATCTTTATTTTATATGTTTTATCTTACTCCCCCCCCCCCCCCCCCCCCCCCCGTCTATCTCTCTGTTTGGCATCGATATCATAGATCGATTCATGTTAGCCGACCCCACATTCTTTTGGGATTAAGGCTTGGATGTTGTTGTATATAAATAAGTTTTAGGAATTTTATCAATTCAGGACCCGAAAGATAGATTAATTATCAGTTCAGGACCCGAAAGATGAAACGTATCAATATAGGACCCGAATGATGGAAAACTATCAATTTAGGACCTAACGTTTCATACGTTTTGTTTTATTTAATTTTTTATTAATTCCATTACTAATTTTTGATAAACTTTTCTTCACAAAACTTTATTAGTTTTATAAAACGAAATAATATTTAAAATTTTTTAATAAAAAAAATTATGACAACTTAGGTCCTAGATTAATAGTTTTCAATCATTCAGGTCCTAAATTGATAGTTTTTCATCATTCGGGTCCTATATCGATGCATTTTATCTTTCAGGTCCCGAATTGATAATTAATCTATCTTTTGGGTCCCGAATTGATAAAATTCCGATAAGTTATTGTGTACTACGGAGTGATATAAGAATGAATCTGTACCGTTGGATTGTATTATGTGGAATTGAATTGTGCATTTGGTGAAACTGAAATGTGCAGAATAAAAATTTAAACTCAAGTGTGCATTAGGTGAAACTGAAATGTGCGGAATAAAAGATACAAAAATAACATCACATCGTACCTTTTATTCTGCACATTTAAGTTTCACCTAGTGCACATTTCAATATCACCTAATGCACAATTCAGCTTCACATAATGCCAATGTATCGTACCCTTTGTGTTGCACATTTTAATTTCACCTAATACACATTATAATTTCATCTAATGCACACTGAATTTTACTTAAAGCAAATCTAACGGTCCAGGTTCATTCTCATTTCTCTCCTAAGATCATGTTCTTATTTGAACCAAAACCTATATATATTTATATATATACACACACACACACACACACACATATATATATATATATATAAATATACTGATATATTTTTTTGGCAAGAAAATAAATTTTTATTAGAAAAATTGAGAGCAAATTACAAAAGATAGAAAGCAAAAGAATAAAAAAGCTAATGAAACAGAAAAGGAAAGACAAAAAAGAAAAAAAGAAACTCCTCCTCCAACAAATCCACCAAAGCCTCAAGCGCCCACAATTGAATACCCCTACGCAATCAAAAAAATTCCAGAGCGATGATCATCCCTAACACACCACGAAAGCCATCAAACAACCCGTAAAGCTTCTTTCAGGAAACCCAGAACAAGATCTAATATCCCTCATCAGCCATAATAAATAGCCCTAAAAAAACAGCTCTATTGTTTAGCCAACTTTTTGCCTTAATTCGAGCACTCCTTCTAGGAAGGAACCGTGAGCTGGTTGCACACCATTCAGTATCAACTAAGTGGTCTAGTAAATCCTGATCAGAAAGTGATCTTTGAGCCGATGTTGCTACAAATTCATCACCCGGCAATTCTAAGCCTGAAGATACAGACCGAGGATAATCAAGTCCACCCTTGATAATATGCTTAGATGGAAAAGAAACTTGAAGAGGAGATATCTCTATAATACTCTCACCTTGGGTAGCAATCTCCTTGTTAGCAGTAGTTATCCCTTGTGCATTTTCTTGCAGCAAGACAACATCCTTTGATGCAGAATTAACCCCAAAATTTAATAAGTCCTCATTAAATAATAATGAGGAGATAGACACATTGTCTCCTACTAAGGATTCCATCGAATCCTTACAAATAGCCCCAAGATCCTCAGTAGGCTTCTTGAGTTGTTCCTGCTCAAAATCTTTTAATATGTCACGTTGTTTCATTAGAGCTCTTGCCTTTGTAATCTCCATAAGAAATAGGTTTATCCCTTGTCCATTTCTTCCCTCGGGAATAAATAGAGAATCACAACCCTTTTCAATTATTCGTATAAATCCTCCAAAGAGATTAGCATCATACAAAACAATGAGGGATTTATTCAACTCCAACTTAGTACCTAAGCTGTTACCCGAAAAGACCTCGAGTATGGAATCCTTCAACCAATTAACCCCAGCAATGTCGAGAGTGACAACCGAAGATAATCCATTCTTCATTTCAGAAATACGAACAGTAGTGCAATCCATAACTTTAAAATTAAAACATTTACTTTCAATGTCAATATCAAATTCATCTTCTGTCGGATGCTTGATATCAGTTTGCCTCCTGTCAGTTGATTCCCCCGGTCTCAGGTATGACCTGCAATAGTGTTGATCTGTTCGCCGAGGTCGGACATCCGTTCTTATGTTCCAATCTGCTTTTGGTCGAAAACTCCAATCTGTCTGGCGAGCTCTAAACGTCGATTTGCGAGTTGGCCAATGTCTCCGTTCAATGTCAGCGCCCCTGAAGATCCGTGTGCTCTGCCTCTGTTCGCCTGATCCGAGCATAGCTTTGCATCCTTCCCGTCGCCAGGGAGTGTGCTCTCCTTGCCAACTGAAATTATGTCGATAGTCCCATCGCCGATTGTCGAAGGGTGTGCATCCCTTCGCTTCCGGTTGTCTCCTTCCGAAATGTGTTGAAGCCAGAGTAACGCCGCCTGTAGTGTAGTCCAAAATCTCCCTGGAATCGTGAATTACGTCGAGGTCTCCCATCCCTAAATCCCAGGAAATCGATCGACGACTCCCTAACCCTAAATCCCTGCGCCGCCATCCTTTCCCCTTCTATATCTTGTATGTGTTTGCTTATATATACTAGTATATCGTATACTAATATATATTCTTAATATATACGTAGTATATAAACAAGTTATTGTGTACTAGTATATACTCCCACGGTCCCTTCGTCCCATAAAATAGTTCTCACATTGACTTGGATCGGAGTTTAAGAAAGTGAGAATAAAGTTGAAATGTATGATTGTAGTTGAGTAAGGAAAAGGTAAATGAATGTGAGCCACACAAAACTTTCCAAAAATGGAAATGGGAACTATTTTTTGGGACGGCCCAAAAGGGAAACCGGGAACTATTTTGCGGGACGGAGGGAGTAATATACTCCCTTCGTCCCTTAAAACTTTGCCAATTTTCCTTTTTTGGATGTCCCACTAACTTTGTCACTTTCCCTTTTAAGTAAAGAATTTGTGGTTCCAATTAATTCTCTCTCCTCTGTAAAAACCTCAACCACGCAGTTTTTACTTTATTAATCCCCGGTCCCTTAAAACTTTGTCAACTTTCCTTTTTTGGATATCCCACTAACTTTGCCACCTTCTCTTTTAAGTATAGAATTTATGGTTCCAGTTAATTCTCTCTCCTCTGCACAAACCTCAACCACACAGTTTTTACTTTATTAATTCTCGTGCCGGTCAAACTTGGCAAAGTTTTAAGGGGCAGAGGTAGCATATAATATGTGCAGATTTTTTCTGATATATATGTAGTATACAAAAGAGGTATTTACCTAAATAGGAGTAAATCCATCTTTAATGGCTAAACTAGGAGTAAAGTTTTAAATTTTCCCAAATGGGAGTTATTATTTATAGTTGGACAAATAAGCCCCTGAAACTTGCCAAAACTAACTGCCGACAAACCCTAGACCGCCGCCGGCCGCCGGCTGCCAACCGCTGCCTTTGTAGATCTGGCCACCGTCACAGCTAATCCGGCAATTGCAACTGCAAATATGGCCTCTGTCGTTGTAGATCTAGCTATCGCCGGCGCGAATGCCAAAATGATTCGAGAATGTCATCTTAATGGCATTTTGAAAGAAATACAATTTTTTTGTAGAATATGAATGCCATTTTGAAGGCATTTTCAGAGTTGAACTTGGCATTTTCGGAGTTGAATTTGGCATTTTTTACCAATCAAAGAAGAAGTAGAGCATCTGCAACAAAACATAATAGGGGAAGAGAGAACAAGAGAAGAGGGGAGGGAAATGGGGATAAAATCAGAGAAGAGAACCAGACCTTCGAAGAAGAGAAGAAGACCTTCGGCGGCGGACTTCGCATCGGCGACAACGAAGGCTATGACTGGGCTTCTAGGTTTGTTTGTTGTTGTGCGAAGGGGAAGAAGAAGATCTGCAGGGAAGGAGGAGGAGATGTGTGGGGAAGGGATAAGAAGGTGCGTAGGGGGAGGGGAAGAAGAAGATGTGCGGAGAGAGAAGAAGATTTGTGGGAAGGGATGTGTGGAGAAGAAGTACGTAACGGGAAGGGATAAGAAGGTGCGCAGGGGAGGAGATGCCCGTACCTGTCATAGAGAAGGAAAAAAGGTAAATATGCAATTCAGTCATATTTAGAGAAAAAAATTATGCATAGTCTCATTTAGAAATTTCACTAATAATTTAGTCCCACTTAGGGTATAATGCATGAACCATCTTCCCACGCTAATTTTCTATTAAAGTTCTTGTATGAACCGAACATGTCATAAACCAGGGTGGTTGACTGATCGATGCTCACGTCCATGATTGCTGAAATCAAGTCCCTCCTAGTCTTGATAGTCTCATGACGGATCCACTTTTTTGGCAAAAATGAATCTAAAATAAACCTAGCTAAGCAAGCCTGTTTCTTTATATTTTACTATTTTAGTAACAAATCACCGGATGAGATTTCTACCATTTTGATTAGTCAAAAGTAGGGATGGACCAAACCGGCCCGGCCCGGGTAACTTATGGGCGATTCGGGCTTTCACCCGGCCCGGGGGGTAGGGCGGTTCGGGCACGGTTCAGGAAAATAGGGGCCCGGGCCTAATGGCTAACTTTAAAAAAAAAATCTTTGGTAGCCAAACAGGCCTTATAACCGTTGTATTTCAACCCAAACGGCTCTATAGCCGTTGGGAGCCTGCCAGGGGGTCCCGGGGTTGGTTGGGGGGTGGGGTAGGGTGGGGGTGGGGTATAAAAATATATAAATACTCCATTTTTTCTATACAATTTACTACACATCTTCTCCAAATATTTCTACTCTAATCTCTATTCTCTACTAATCTTCTCCATCTTCATCTTCTCAAATTTATAACTACATATATTATATTTATAAAATTTATTATCTACTTATTATCTACTTATATTAATATCTAATTATTATATTATTGTTACTTATATTTATTTACTTATATTTACATATTACATATATAATTATCTCTAATTTATTTACTTATATTTACATATTACATATATAATTATCTCTAATTTATTTACTTATATTTACATATTACATATACTTAATATATACTTATATATATTAAAGTATTATATGTAAGTGTATTACTCATCTTATAGTAATATACTTATATATTATATATACTATAAACATAATATTATATATTACTAGTTAATCTACTTATTATCTACTTATAAATATATACTTCGTATATTAAATATATCTACTTATACACTTATTATCTACTTATCCAATTGCTTATACACTCTCACGCTCCCATTAATTTAGTTTACACACTCATACATTCTTTATTAATATAAAACTAGTTAATTGTTTCTGATGGTCCCGTATAGGGTAAAAGTCTAGGGGGGGGGGGGGGGGGGGGGGGTGAATAGACTTTTAAATCTTTTTCAATTTTAAAGTGTTTCTCCCTCTAAAGAGTTGATATAATCTTTTGAGAGATTTATAGATGCACAGCGGAAGTCTTTACCATTTATGGAATCAGTGTATGAATACTTTCTATCATGATAGAAGATTGAACCCAAATGTCTGGCAGTTGGCTTGGCAGTTGGCTAGATAGCAGGGAACTGCTAAGGCAACTGCTGAGGAAATATTGGGTGTTTGATGAAAGTGATGATGGAATGATGCTGAGAATAATGAGGGCTTTCAGAAAATGTGCTTTAGTAGAATTAATCAGGAGCTTTACTGGAGCAGTGGTCTCAGCAGTTGAGTGGTGATGAGGGCACTGCTGAGGTACCTGCTTGGTTTAGAAGATGAATTTCAGAGAGCAGTTTGGTCAACCTCCTTGTTGGTAATGTTATGAATGTCCGGTGATATGGAGATGTTCAAGAGAAACAAGTGAATATGAGCAGAGGGCTCAACTGTTGGGTGGACACCAGGGGACTGCTGAGGCACCTGCTATACTTAGAAAATGAATTTCTGGGAAATGATAGAACATGCCTTTTAGTGATATTGATGCACGTCTCTTGTGTGAAAATGGTCTCAAAGAAAGTAAGTAATTAAGCAGTAGGATAAACAGCTGGGTCAGTTAAGACAACTGCTTAGGATTCTGCTGGCAAACTTCAATCTTTTTGTAAGAAGTGCTAAGTGTGTGCTTTGTTGAATGAATGTAAATCAACACACAGTATATCCTGATTCAAAGGTGGTGTAATCCTCCTACGTCCAGTCCCACCCTTTTTCAGATGGATTTCACTAAAGTATTGAGCCCAATACACTTAGTGCCAATCTAGCTTTTACAACATTTAGGCCTAGATTGAAGATTTTTCACAATGAGTATAGCACCACTCAAAGTTACTCAGTCCTTAGACTTTTCTCTAATGAACCAGTGAGGATCAAAAGGTACTCTATCTATCTACTTACACTTTAGGATCCGAACAACTGTTCTCCTGAGTGTTTACAACAACTTATGAAATGTTACAAGAAAGTTCTAACCTCCAACTAGGAACTAAACTTCTATGATTTAACAATGAATAGCTTGTAAACTGGAAGTTTAGTGAAGCATGAGTCCAAGCAGAGAGTAAAGTTTAGAATAGCACTTTCTCTTTTGTTAGATAGCTCGTGAATGCTTGTGGGAGTATTTCTCTACTTTGGATGCTCAAGCTTTGTTAGAAACTTTCGTTTCAGCCTATATTTATAGGCTTCTCCAGTTGATTAATCTCATCCGTTGGTTAAGATAGATTAATCGTGTTCGTTGAAGATTTGGCAAGGACGAATTGTACATTCGTCTTCTTGTGCTGGAGCATTTATTGGGACGATTTCTCTGTCTTGTGTATCTCAGCCGCTGAAGCATCTCTTCAACAATAATTCCATGTGTGCGTCCAATGTTTCGGACCCATGTACGAGTAAGGTAATAATTGCCGGTCTATTTTTGTCTCCAATCATACATATTCAATGTATTTGATTTTCCAAGCTTCTTTTCTTTGATAATGTGACATTCAGTTAACCTTTGAGCTAAAATGATATATACCGGTAGGATCTAAATATCCTATTAAGGTAAATAAAAATTATCTTATTGCATTTTAACTTTTCCGGTAATATTCAATTTGACTCAAAAATTGTACATTTTATTTTGTCACATAATTTTAAATGCTAACACACGAACAATATTGAGACACAATGTACATTTGCTAAGTATAGTGGCATCATCAAAATCTATCAAAATTGGGTACTAACAGTTTCACTTATCATTTTAGTATTAGTTCATTGCTATAGATTGATTCTTATTTACTTCCTCAGTCCCAAATTGTAAGATACATTTACTATCGACTTGGTCAACATAAATCACTCTTAATCTTTTACTTTATATGTCAAAAGTTTATGAAATGTGAATTATTTTTTGCAAATTTTGAAGCAGTTTTAATGCAGTTTCTGAACATGTAAATTTTATTTTTTTAAACTAATTTGAGTGTTGATAGAAATCAAATTACTTTATTGTCAGTCAAACATCGTAAATAGTAAAGTATCTTACAAATTGGGACGGAGGGAGTATTAAAAAGTGGACTTCATGTTTTAATTTTTGCTCAATTTTCAATTGTACTACATACTTCAAATAAATATATTTTAAATTTTTTATGTCCAAGTAATC